TGAAAGTGTGGGTCTAGTCCAAGTCCCAATGCCTGAGAACCAGGAGAGGCGAAGGTGTAGTTCTAGTCTAAAAGCTGGCAGGCTTGAGACCCAGGAAGAGCAACGTTTCAGCTTGAGTTCGAAGGGAGGAGAAAGCCAATGTTCTAGATTGAACACCGCCAGGCAGGAGGAATTCCTTCTTACTCAGCCTTTCTGTTCTACTGGGGCTTTCAACAGACTGGACAAGGCCCGCCGACACTGGGGAGGGCCATCTGCTTTACTCAGTGCACCAATTCAACGTCACTCCCATCCAGAAACACCCTCGCAGACACACCCAGAATAACCAAATGTCTGGGCACCCCATAGCCCAGTCACTTTGACACATAAAATGAAACAGCACGATGGGGAAGGGCTGACGGATGCGTGCTCCTCTCCACGGAGGCCTTGGCCTTGTGCTGGGTTCCCTGGAGGGGGTGCCACAGGGACTGGGCTGGCTAGGGTGGGGTCTAGCTGCTGTCCTCTGTCTGGACCACAGAAGGGAGGAAAGGGCCTCTTTCTGTAGCTTCCTTGACTATGCAAGTCAGGCCACCAGTGGTAAGATGGCCCCAGTCCTCCAAGGCAGGCCAGTGGGGACCGTACCACCAGCTGGCTGCAGTGAGTCGGCCTAGGTGAAAAAGAGCCACACCAGGGACAAGGGCTTGTTTCCAGATCTGTAGAAGAGTGAGGCCAGCTTCTCGGGGGAGGTGGGCACCGCAGGCAGGGCAGCGGCTGCAGCTTCAGCTCTGGACCACATGCTGCCGGGGGGCATTGGGCTGCCCCCCCCCTCCTACTGCCACCACAGCCCCCACCCCCAACTGCTTGCTGCTCGGGTGGAAGGGAAAACTGTCAGCCCAGACTCTGCTTGTGGTCACATTGCAGGACTAACTCCAAACAGAATTAGCCAGTGTTCGCAAAGTTGAGTCTTTTGTATTTCAGAAAGAGCAGGGTTGACCCTTTTTAGATAAATCTTACCCACAAAATTTTGTTAAGCCTCTCTTAAGGGAAGAATCTTCCAGTTGGAGGTATTGTTAGTCAACAAATGTGAATAAACTGTGCTCCCTTGAGTCAGAGCATTTCTTTAATATGTTGTACATAATTAGAACCTTTATAAGGGTTTTTGTGCATTGTACAGTGCAACACAAAGAATAATAACAGACATTGGTTAAATGCTCCCAATGAGCCCACAGACCTGTGCAGTGTACCTCATATGCCCGATCTCGTTTCATCCTTGGAATAGTCCTGTGGGGTGGATGCTGTTACTATCCCCATTTTCCAGATGTGGAATTGTGACTCAGGGAGATGGCGTGACCTGCAGTACAGACCCTGAGTTGGCCCAGACACGCCCTAACTCTGTAAAGCCCATGCCTTTCACCCTGTGATGGCGCCTCCAGTTTACGCTCGGCAGCCACAGGAAGAAAGCTGTCACTGCAGTCCGAGGGCCCCAACCAGGTCTGCACAGTCCCAGCAATTTTGCTAAGGCTTTGTCCTCCTCACACTATTTAAAAGTATCAATCCAGGCCAGGTGTGGTGGTTCACACCTGTAATCCCAGCAAGTTTGGGAGGCTGAGGCAGGAGGATCGCTTGAGACCAGGAGTTTCAGACCAGCCTGAGCAATTTAGTAGACCTCATCTCTACAAAAAAAAAAAAAAAAAAAATTTTTTTTTTAATTAGCCAGGCATGGTGGTGCACACCTGTAGTCTCAGCTACTCAGGAGGCTGAGGTGGAAGGATCGCTTGACCCTGAGAGGTGAAGGTTGCAGTGAGCTATGATTGTGCCACTGCACTCCAGCCTGGGCTACAGAGCAAGACCCTGTGTCTCAAAATAGAAATGAAAACATGAATCCAGCAGCCCCTGACTGCCCAGAAGTAGTCCACTCCAAGCTGTTGCATTGCTGAGAAAGCGGCGTCTGATGCAGTTTTGTTTCTTTCTAATGCTTGAGACGTGGCAGCATTTGAAAAAAGGAGCTTCTTGGAGAGATGTCCATCCCCCACTCCCAAATGCCTGGTTGTCCCTCGGGCTGAGATGGGAGAGCCTGCTGGCCAGGGGGAGCTGCCCCCTCCCACCAGCTTTACCAGCTGCAAGGAGCACGTGGCTTGCCCACCATTACCTGTTCCTTAGATGGGGTTTTCTAGAAGGAGCAGAATGAAAAAGGAAAAGATTTAGTTTCTGAATAAAAAAGGGCAGTTTTTGGCAACCAGGTTTCGTCGGCCTCGGAAGGAATGACTGAGAAAGTGACAAGCCACGTTGCCATCAGTTTGGTAATGGAAGAGATCCCAGTACAGAGAGCCAGCAGCCTACTTTTATCTCTGATTAAAACGAAAGTGCTCACAGAGTTGCTGGCAGCTTTATGGGTTCAGAAATAATTTAGAGTTTCATCACACTAACCCGAAGTGAAGACGTGCTACAGCACATTACTTATGGCCTTGTTACTGTCTGTAGCTCTGGGAGTTACGGCCGAAAGTTCAGTTCAGTTAAAGCTGGAAAAAAGGTGAGGAAGGAAAAGTAACCTCCTGAGACTGGGCCACCTCCACCCAGAAGGCCCATATCAGCAGAAGAAAAGTGACCACCGAATTTACGCGGTGGGATTAGACAGCTTCTAGTTCTTCAGAAGATCTGCCGTCAGGTCTCTTTTTCTAAAGGTGCCAGATGCAGCGGGGACCCTGCCCCAGCACATGGGAACTTGTTTTAACCTCAGAGGCCCTTTCATTCCAGCTGAGCCGTGTGTTTAGCAGTGAGGGGACTTCTTACTGATTTTCCTGGAGAATGTGATTGTTCAAAAACCACTCTCCATGGAGCATGTGATTGAGTCCTTTTGTTATTTGGGTGAAAATCTAGGTCAACAGCAGAGTTCCTGCCTTGCCTTGACAGCTGGTATTTATGCATGTCTGCTGTGGTCCTGTTCCCCAAGAGGAACACACAGTCGGTTTTAAATGTGAATCCTGGGTCAGACATGAAGAAGGAAGGCGTACTAAGGACCTTGAAATGACCCTCAAAAGGTGTCAGGGAGAATGACAATTTTCTTCATACTCTCTCTGTTCATCTGTCTGTCCATCCATGCATCCAGCGTCCAGAGCAGGTCTCCTATGTTTTAACGAAGGGAACCTGGTTGTTATTCCCCCAAATCTAGAAATTACTTTTGGATGAGTGTAGAGAGCACTGAATAGCTAAAAAGAAAGGATTCACAGCTGTGTCCTGACCTTTCTTGCTTGTCAGAAACTAGCAAATCGTAGCCAGATTGGATATGTACAGAGGAAGACATCAAGACATTAGCAGGCTGGGGAGTCCCTGCCCCACAACCCAGCTTACTGCAGGTTAGAGGATGGACCCTTCTGCGACCGCTCGGCATCCTGGACAGTTGGTTCTTTTCTGTTTCCTAAACACGCCTTGAGTGTACCCGCAAACGCTGTTCCTTGTGCGGCGCAACTGGAATCCTAGCTGTGTGGCTGGTTGCAACTCATCCTTTTCTGAATAGCAGCAGTAACACATTGACTGCCACGCCAGGAAAAAGTTTCTCCCCGGGACCACGGTGTTTTATTACGAAAATAGAATAAAAACTTCAAAAACAAAATGATCCTTTCTAATTTAGTGAAAAAGTTGTTACATCATCAATAAAATGTAACATAAAAACTTGAAAATTACTGAGGTAAAAAGTAATGTGGAAACTTGAAAAATAGTTCGTAAGGGTAAAGTGTTTTTCTTGACTTGCCAGCCTTAAGTGTAATTTAAAGATAAAGAAATAGAACAACAAAATTTATTGACTTCCATTCATTTAATCCACCTTTTTAGAACTAAATTGTCAATAGGTAAAGAGATATGTGAGTTAGATATTCTTCATGAGGTCCCGGACTCAAAACTGGTGTAAGTTAAATACAACTTTCATAACAGTTAATGTGTTAACATTGAATTTACAATGTTCTACTTATTATTAATAGCATTAACTTTTCAAGGGCCTCAGAAAGATGTCAACAATGTGTCTTCAAGTTGATTCTCTTGGTACCCCCATCCCCGATGTGGCTGAGTTGCAAGAGGCCCAGCATCTTCCAAGAACAGCTCCCTTGGCCCTGAGTCCTCCCTAGTGCCCCCCAGTGTTGAAAGTCAGAGAATGAGGCAATACGGTAACTGGAATTTTGCCCCAATACAGTCCTTTTAATGTCCAGTTGTCATTGTAGAGAAAATGGCTTGACCTTGTGCTTACATCCTAGAAGCGTTAACACTTTTACCATTTCTCTACTTATGTAGCTAATAAATAAAATACAGAACTCAGAGAAGGCTGCCTTTGTTAAAGAAATTGCAAACCAGGCCCATGTGATCAAAATTCTATTGAAAAGCAGAAGCCTTATGGGAACAGTGAGGTTTGCTTCAGTGCAGAGCCGGGACAGCTGCCGCTGTGGCCCCTGCACACAGGCTGCTGGCACAGGTCCCACCCTAACGGTCCTAAGGAATTTTGCCGTTTGGTGGCTTGTATTCAGACTTGTTCAGTAATCCAGAAAGGAAGGGTGATTTGGAACCTTGACCAGCGGGCTGTGAATTCTGATTTGCGCCTTCCCACTACATAGATAATACCCCAGCAAACTACCTGCTCCAACCCGGTGGATTCTACACATTCCTTACCATCTTTTTAAACTCTCTTAAAATCAACTTCATTAAAATGGACTTTATAAAATGGATTTTACCAAATCACCTCCTCTGCTCTAGATTTTTCAGTCAAATCATCTGTTACCTGATTTCAATTCTGAATACAGTATGTGTATCTGATAACTGTTTGCCTCGCTGTCGACCTCCTGGGTGGTCATAAACTCCAAGGGGTTTTACCCTCATGTCTACATTCATGGAAAGTTGATACTGTTAAATTTTCTCCCCAGTAGCGGTCATGGTAAAAAAGTGGCCTTTTGTCACTTTAGATTTTCATGAAATGTTGGGGAAGGTAAGTGGTTTTTAAGTGGCTTGCCATTATCAAAAGCTTTTTTTTCCTCTTTTTTTAGGTTGCATCTGATGCCAGAAGGCAAACACAACCTGCATTTGCGTTTTGCAAATGAATTCAACAAGTTAGCAGAAGACTTCCTACAATGAATGTGTCCCTGAGAACATTTGATTCTTGGTGGCTCTTTAGTTTGGGGCTTGATCATGTAGCCGCCCGTCATTCTGAAGCCTTTGAAACTCTTCTGCTGAGTCACACAGCAGGTCTCCTGCCTTCTCAGGCTTCCTGCCCCTCTCTACAGTCTGACCTAATCAAACAGGACACACTGAAAATAGCCTTTAGCTTCAGTAGCTACAAAAATTAAATCTGATTTTTTAACATTAAGTTGTGGATGTCTGCCATTGTTTTAAAAAGTAAATTCCCGCCACAATTTGCATTCAAATAAATTTTAGGTGGAATATTTGTAGATGTCTGCAGTTTTAGGACACCATGAATTTGTACTGTACCTTTTATCTGAGAGGTCCAAGCTTCACTTGTTTATTTGTATTTATCCCACTGTTCAAAGAGAAGTAGAAAAACAAAATCCTTGCCTAAGGTTGATTCTGCAGATTCGTAGGGTACCTGAGCAACCACAGAAGGTTTGCTTTATCCTCAAACCG